CTTTGATTTCTTTTTTTGTGTGTTCTTTAAATTCACTGAGTTCTTTTATCATGTTTATAATTGTTCTATTGAGTTCTATGTCCTGCAATATCTCTAGGGGGTTCTCACTGTACTCCTCTAGAGGACTATTGGTATTTGGTGGAGATATGTTATTTTGGTTTTTCATGTTATTATTTTTTCTCTGTGATTTTGACATGTGAATTTCTTTTGTAGCTTTTGACTCTTGTGTGAGACTCAGGCCTTCAAGTTTAGATCTCCTTCTTTTTGTGAACTTTATGTGTCTTTTTAGTAATGAAAAGCTGGTTCCTCTAAGCTTCCGGTTCTCTCTTTTGATTTTACATTGGAGTGGCCAGATTGCTTTTGTCTTCAGGAGTTCCCACAGAGGCCCAAGTCAGATGCGGGTCAGATGTTTCAGGCTTTCTCCTAAGGTCTGAATCCCTACAGGAATGATTTTGGCCTCAGGAATTTGGGGGTTGGACTGGCCTGGGAGCCTGGCCCAGGAAAGATGCTGGTCTAGGGCAGCTGGTGGCCGTTCCACCCAGAGATGCATAGGCAGATGGGGTGGGAAGAGGCCCCAAGGCCTCCTGGGGACTGCACTGAGGATCTGTGTTGCTCTAGATGCAAAGGATCAGACGAGGAAAGGTCAGCCCCCGTATCCCAGAAAGAGGCTGGTGGGTGGTGGAGGTCCAGGGAAGCAGAGGGAGGTGAGGGCAGGGCCAGGCCCAGAAGCAATGCTCCTGGGGCCCAGAGAAGGCACTACATTGGTCTGGATGAAAAGGATCAGGAAGCAGTATTGGTTCCCCAGGTATCTGGGGCCCCAAGGCAAGGAACGGGGCAGGTCCCAAGACAAGGAACGGGGCAGGACCCAAACTAGGAGGGGAGATGGGAGGGTGAATGAGGCTGGGGGAGTCAAGGCATGGAGGGTGCAATGGACTTACCCCGGAGAGAGGCCCACAGGTAGAAGAGAGGCCTGCAGTTGGAGAGAGGCCTGCGCAGGTGGTGCAGGCCAAGGGAAGCAGAGCTAGGCGGCGTTTTAGAGGCAAAAATCTCCAACATTTTCATGACTATCTTATGCTATCATTTCTCTTTGCAACCTCTTTTATTTTTGTTTTGTTTTGAGCTAGGATCCCATCATGTAGTCCAGGCTAGCCTTAAATTTACAGTCTTCCTGCTTCAGCCTCCTAAGTGTTGGGATTACGGGGTGTACCAGCATGCTAGCACTTCAGCAACTTCTCAATCAAGTGCTCCAACAGTACCATAGTTAGTAGGTTCAGATTTGAGCACAGGTTTATTAAAAGCTTTAATATGTGGGGTACTACAAAGATACCTTTGAGCAGCGCTAGTTGGTTGTTGCTAGGACCTGTTCATTCAACATCTTGAGGGACTCACAGGTTTTCTTTTCAATGTTTTATTATATGCATATTAACATATATTAATACATATTAATATATGTATTATAAACTCTGAGTTGATGAGCTTCTGACTAAATCCAGAGCAGACTGAAATATCAAGGCTAACTTTTTTGTTAGCTATTCCTTTCCTAAGAGCACAATGGCTCCTTTTTCTGGGCTAAGATAGTCTCAGATGTTTCTGGATAACTGGTATTAGGAAAAGAAGTAGAAAGGGAAGGCTCCTAAGCTTATGGCAGAGATGAGCAGGGTGGGGCTTGGAAGAGAACAATGTCAGAGAAAAAGCGGCCACAGAGGAGGGTCTCCTGGAACAGGACAAAGAGTTTGAAGATGGGGCTGGTTTAGATGAGGGTGAAGCGGTACATGCCTGGGAGAGTAAATGGGCTGATGGTGATGTAGAGGATGAAGTCTTCAATCAGTTACCTGCTCAACTAAAGAACCATGCCATAAGATGAAAATTTTTATTTTATATTTTGTTTTGTTCTTTTTTGTACTTTTGTGTGTGTGTGTGTGTTTGTGTTTTTTTTTTTTTTGAGACAGGGTTGCCCTGTAGCTCCTACTGGCCTGAGACTCATTATGAGGACCAGGCTGGCCTAGAACTTACAGAGATGCCTCTGCCTCTGCCTTCCAAGTGTGGATATTAAAGGCGTGTGGCACCACACCTGGCTTTTAAAAACACTTATTTGAAAATATTTTATTAGCATTGTTTTCTTTAAAAAGTAACACAACTGGTTGGAGAGATGGTTCCGCGGTTAAGAGCACTGGCTGCTCTTGCAGAAGATCCGGGTTTGAATCCCAGCACCCACATGGCAGCTAACAACTATCAGTAACTCCAGTTCCAGGGGATCCAACACCCTCTTCTTACCTCTGGGGGCATTGCATGATTTATATACATAATACATAAAATAAAAGCAAGTAAATAAAAATTTAAAAGAGAACTTATTAAAAAAAGAAGTAACATGATTACCTTGAAAGACTTTGTATAGGTTGGAGAATTTGGAAAGCAAGTGAATGGCAGACTCACTTTATAGGAATAGTAACAAATTTCACATTATTGTTGAAGCTTGGTAGTACAGCTTGTCAGTAAGCAATATTAAAAAATTATAGTGGATATAGAGAATTTCAAATTTATATTCTAAGATATAATTGCATATTTTTAATTCGAGGATTATATCAGCTTAGTTATTACAGTACTTTATTGACAAAAAATAACTTTTTGTCTAAAAGAGTAGACTAAGAAGAATAGAAATGTTTATATAGAGCATTCAATAAACCAAGCAGTATCCTAAAACTTTTACCTATTTTAACATCCCACAACAAGTCTACAAGGTGATGGCTTACTCTAATTATTCTCATCATTCCAATTTACAGGCAAGGTAACAGTATAGCTGCCACGTGCGAACTTTTAATCACAGTGATATAATATGGGTGCTGTTTCATCTGTGTACTGAGGGACACCATAGCAGGACCTCACTTATTGACAGACCAGGTGCACTGTGTATCCCAGGCCTTGGACAGTGCTGGATGGAAAACGGCCGACCCCTGAACCCTGCTCCTAATGTGATAGTTAATATTGTCAGTTGGACAAGATCTAGAATCATCTCAGAGACAAGCCTCTGATCAAGCCTGTGAGGGCTTAACCAGACTAGGGTAACTGAGGTGGGAAAACTCACCTTAATTGTGGGTGGCACCATTCCATGGGCTTGGGTCCTGGACTGAATAAAAAGGAAAAAAAAAAAAACAAAAGCAAAACTGGCTGAGCATGAGCATTTGAGCAGTCACTGGTCCCTGATTGTGCCTAAGATGTGACCAGCTGCCTCAAGCTCCTGCCATGAAGACATCCCCACCATGATGGAACATGAGCCAAAATAAACCTTTCCTTCCTCAGGTTGCTTTCATCTGGGTATTTTATCACAGTAATAGGAAACGTAATTAATATACCCAATTACTTTTCTTTTCTCTGAAGACTATGTCTCTCTCTCTCTCTCTCTCTCTCTCTCTCTCTCTCTCTCTCTTCTCTCTGTTTTTTATTTTTATTTTTTGGTCTGTTTGAGACAGGGTCTCCCTGTATCCCCATCTGGCCTGGAACTCACTATGTAGACCTGGCTGGCCTTGAACTCACAAAGATCCACCTGCCTCTGCCTCCTAAGTTCTGGGATTAAAATGTGTACTACCATGTCCAGCCTTGAAGACTATGTTTATTAAAACCTATTCTTTTTCTTGATTGAGATGAAATAAAGTTTATTGACTAGAAGCACTGTGTTATTTTGTCCTAGGCATCCCGAGTTGATTTAATATGCCCGATCATCATGCACTATCATCCCTTCACAGCAGATGTTAGTAATACTTCATTTGTGCCAGAGCCTTTGCTGTCCTTGGAAAAAAAAATGAATCTGACACATGTCCTATTTGGCATGCTGTGTCTAGGTGGATCCCTTGATGTCTGAGGATTGCCCAGCTTCTAGAGCATTCTAGAGCATCAGTACGTCCACAATAGGAATTCACCTTTATACATTCTCTCTTAACCAGCAGTCAAAAGATTCTTGCCCATTCACTATATGATTGGGAGCAATAGGGTGGAAGGGCCACAGACTCTGTTCTTTCAGATCCACTTGTGGCCTCAGTGCTCCAGGAGCCTCACTCAGAGCCTCTTCCACAGCCCGTCACTTTGAAGAAAGCCCTCTTCACATCTTTGTTTCTGAGGCTGTAGATTATAGGGTTGAGAAAGGCAGAGATGACATTGTAGAACAGAGCCAGCTTCTTGTCCCTCTCTGGAGAGGCATTGGCTCCAGGGTTCATGTACATAAACATGGCAGGTCCACAGAACATGGTGACCACAGTGATGTGGGAGGCACAGGTAGAAAAGGCCTTGAGTCGACCCTGGGCTGAACGGATTCTTAGGATGGTGGCAAATATGCGGACATAAGAGGCCAGGATGAAGGAAAGTGGTACCAAGAGAAGAATAAAGCCCAGGATGAAATCTATTCGGTCATTAAGGGACGTGTCTGCACAGGCAAGCTTCAGAACAGCAGGGACTTCACAGAAGAAGTGATTGATCTCATGAGGGCCACAGTAGGGCAGCCGCATGGTGAAGACAGTGTAGATTAGAGAACAGCTGACACCCCATAGTCCACAAAATACTACCATTGCCACACACAGCCATGGGCTCATGAGAACCTTGTATCTGAGTGGGTAGCAGATAGCTACATACCTGTCATAGGCCATGACAGAAAACAACCATCCCTCTGTGATGCCTAACACCAGAAAGATGTACATCTGGGCCACACACCCCCAATAGGAGATAGTTCTCTTCTGGGAAACAAGATGTACCAACATCTGGGGCACTGTGGTAGTGACATAGCTCATGTCCAGCATGGAAAGGACACTGAGGAAGAAATACATGGGTGTGTGAAGGCGGGAGTCCAGGTGGATCAAGGTGACAATGAGTCCATTGCCCATAAGTGTAGAGAGGTAGAGGAAGAGGAAGATATTGAAAATGATTACATTAACTTTGAAATCCCTGGAGAAACCCAGAAGGATGAACTCTGAGATGGAGCTGTGGTTCCCCCAGGGGAAGCTTGACATTCTTCTCGCACTGTGAAAAGAGAGATGGGCTAGTGGCCCGTTTAGAATACACTGTAGTTACTGTTACCATTCATTCCATTGCTGAGTAATTGCTCTTTCATGGAACTAATGTCAGTTCACAGACTGGGGTCTACGTTTGGAATGTTTTGCTTCTCAGGCCAGAATCTTTTCTGAGAACCCCCCAGAGCAGCATCTTCTTCTCTTTCATCATCCCCAGAAATGCCACCTGCTTTCTTTTCCCTTGGGACCCAGCATCATACAGCACCTTTCTTGGGGACTCATCTCCCTAGTGCAGGTTACCGAGTGGGAAGATGGAGAGGAAGCACTCCCCTCCCTCCTTTCTGAAGGCATATCCAGAATCCTTACTTTTGGTGCCTTAAACTTTTGACAGAGTCTCAGAAACGTGGGGAGGATATATGACTTCATTAACAATGAAGTTCTTAGTAACATTTACTTGTACCTGTTTTCTTGATGCTTTTGCTCCTCCAGGCTTTTGATATTTTGTTTTGGATGGAGTTACTCATTAATCCTGCCTCTTCCTACTTTGCTCACTCCTGAAGAACAGAGTCTTCTGGTTTGACTCTAAGAGTTGGCTCTACATAAGGCAGAACAATAGCTATCTTCATTACTTAGAGCCAGTGTTGCCATCTCTGAAGTCCCCCTCCTCCTAGAAACACCCTGACTGATAATAATCTATTCCTCAGAGTCCCTTTCGCTGCTTGGGATTTCTGATGAGCAGGAAGTCCAGAACAAAGGCTATGCTTGGATTTACTTTATGCCTTCAGGAATGAAAGCTGACTGTCCTAGTCTAATGTCATAGGAGGTTTATGTGATAGAAATATAGAATTTGGCATAACATTACATCCCAGTTCAAATCTTGGTACTTCTACTGTGGCCCTGGTCATATAATTTAATATCCTTGAACCCCAGTCTCCTCTGTGTAATGGACATGATCCTATAAGGGTGGGTTATTCTGTGAGTTGTAATATACGACAAACATTAGGTTGCTAGAACACAGACAGGGGCTCAGCAATAACAGTTCCCATCAAAAGCTCTTTCTCACGCACTGAGTGGTCAAACCTTCTAGAAGCTGGAGAGACAAGGACAAAAGAAGATGAATGTCTCATCGCCAAGGAGTTTGCAGTCTAGCTGGGGATAGAGGAATAGATACAGAAACCACTCTTAGTACATTTAGTACCATCATAGGATTATGTGCTGCTGGTCATAGCTTTGTGCTAAGCACTAGAGATGTGGAAATAAAAAAACACCTCTGCTCTCAAAGAGTGCACATAGCGAGGAGAAGGTAAACAATAAATGGCAGCCAAGTACTGTAGGATCCTGTGGACACCCTACGTGATAGAAGCAGTGTATCATGGAAGCCCCAAATGGAGCACCAGGCCAGACATTTAGAGTCAGGCTTTCCTAAAAACAGAACACTCGATATGAATCTTAAAGGATAAACAGGAATAGGTCAAGCGAAGAACTCAAAGAAGAGTCTTGCACACGAATGAAGCAACCATGGTGCACAAGAGTTAAAGCATACATGGGGACTTTATGAAGGAATCGTGAGAAAAATGAGCCTGAGATTAAGAAGGAAAAAGGTACAAACAGTACTGTTTACCTGCAAAGGAGCATGGACTTGATCCCTTAGGCTGTGGTGAGCTACCACGGAGGAGTTTTAAGCAGACAGGTAATTTGTTCAGGCTTAGGCTTTAGAAACACTCTTTGGGAGAAGATCAGTGGAGAGGCACCAGGAGAAGACAGGAAGGCTAGTGTTCTATGCAGGAAGAAGAAAGAGAGCACAGGGAAAGAGGTGGAAGAATCGAATCAACAGCACATGGCACTGAGTGGCCAGAGGACAGCGGGGTAAGTTGTCATGACCATCGTTCAGTAGAAGAAACCAGAGGAAAAGAGAGAGATGGGGTGGGGCAAGGAGCAGCAGAGAGGTGACAGTTCTGTGACACAGAGTTTGAAACACAGAGCACCCTGGAGGATGTGGCCATTGGAGAACCAGATGAGCATGAAGTGCAGGAAGGAGATCAAAATCCAGGCAACAGCAGCAGCGCTTGAGGGGAACGTAGGCACAGAATGGATGAGAATTCTCAGTGAGAGAACACCACCTAGGGCCATTGGAAACACTGGAGAGATCAGTCGAGGAAGACTCGGGGCTTGAGAAGGAGCAGGCAGAGTGATAGGAGGCTGGATGCACAAACTCATGGAGGCAGAGAGCCGACGGAACCAAACACAGTGAGGAAGGGGAACAGACACTGTCCACAGAGTATGATAATGTGGGAGCTATGAACGGGTGAATGTGATGAAAGTCAGACTGCATTGGGCTTTGAGGCATGAACTGGGCTGTAAAGAAAACGCATGAGATGAGATGTCAGGATCAGGACATAGAGGGAACTTTTTCCCAAGGTGGGAGAGTTCAGAGTTCAGAGTGCAAACAAAGGACGGGGCAAACAAGAGTGAGGGAAAAGGCGGGAGTGAGGTCTTGAAGGAAGCAGCTGGCAGTGGTGAAAACAAGTGGCCGCTCCAGCAGAGTAGGAATGAAGTGAAGGACGTGAAATGAGGCGGACAGATGCATGCAGCTGTGACCGCCAGAGAGCTCAATCCACACCCCAGGCCAGCCGCAGGCAGCTCTCTTCATATTAGCTTGTGAATGCAGTTAGAAAGATCTGGCGCAGTGAGCAAATCAGACGCCTTGTCTCAACTGGCTAGAACAACTAGTTAATGCTAACAACGACATGCTACAGCACAAACGTAAAGTCTCCTATACCTCCCTTGACTAAAACATCCACCTGTAGCCAAGCATGGTAGCATATACCTGTAATCCCAGCACTCAGAAAACTCAAGCAAGAGGTGGTCTAAAAAAAGTGTCCAACTATAGCACGCCTACATGAGACAGCAGTTTGTTGGGAAATAACTGAGAACTTACACAAATTTAAGTTTAAAGAAATTTCTAAAAAAAAAAAAAAGTCAACATGATGGGGCTGGAGAGATGCTCAGTGATTAAGAGCACTGGCTGCTCTTGCAGAGGACCCGGGTTCAATTCCCAGCACCCATATGGTGGCTAACAACTGTCTGTAACTCCAGTTCCAGGAAAATACAACACCCTCCTCTGACATCTGAAGGCATGGGGGCACGACACGGGTGCATTTACATACATACAGGCAATACGCTCATACACATAAAATAAAAATAATTAAATAATAATTTTAAAAAATCAACACGGGGCTACACCACTGAAGGAAGGATCCTAGTAGAGAGAGCAGATGGTGTGGTCTGTGTCTGCAGATTACCTGTGGAACAGTGTTCCCACTCCTGAGCCGTGCCTTAAGGAAACGTGGACAAATTAAAATGGGTTGTAGAGAAAGATCTGGAAAACTACATTGTGTGCGGATGTCTTTCCTATGAAAATGAAAGGTGAAGAGCATGCAAGAACCTGAGGACAAACTCTAAAAGTCATTAGCAGACACAGATGAGTCCTCTTTTGTGGTCTTAGGTGACTCTTATTCTTAGAGGTTTCAAGAGATGAATTTGGGAGTCACCCCAAGAAGGAAGGTTTCAGGGTAATATAACCAACTTACATTGCTGGCACAGCTCAAACTCAGGGTCAACTGCCCTGGGAGGTAGTGAGCTCCTGGACTCAGTGAAAGGATCAACAAGAGCTAGATGACCACCTGCAAGGATGCATTGTGACTGGTCCTGCTCACCGTGAGGTGGGAGGGTCTGTAGCACACTCTGGCTGGAAGAAGAGAGGATTCTGCCATTGCTTTCTCCTCTTGTTCCCCAGCATCCTCTGATATCCGTGCTGCTGACCTGGTCTCTCTGTAGCATCCACCAGTCCCTTCTCACCTCTATCTTTACCCTTCCTACCGGTCCTTTGTCCTTTATCCTCAATCTAAGAATCCCTGATTACTGGGATGCAGAAGCAAGCCAACTACTTTATCTCTATAGCAACAGCCTTTCCCTCCTTCCACTTTTCTTCCCAAGGAACAGGAAAAGAGATAAATAGAGAAACAAAGAGATAGGTAGATCCATATGGAGAGAAATCAATGAACAGATCAGCACAGAAGTCAGGGAGACGCACAGATGCCAAGTCTGAAATACCTGAGGCAGGCAGTCGTCCAGGCAAACAGAGAGAGGGACAGGGATAGATGGAGCGCATCAAGTAGGACCGTGAGGAATCTCTTCCTCTCCACTCCTTACCTGGTGCTGGGTTCTATGTGAAAGTTGAGCCAGAAGCCTGCTAAGCTCTCCTTTAATATTCTGTTCCTGATCCTTGGGGAGTTCAAATCAGAAACTTCTTAATGAACCTTCTATCACTTGGGTCCCTCTGGGTCCCACTGCAGCCCCTCTAAACCCTGAACACACATTTCATCCCTTCAGTTTAGCATCCAAGGCCTCCATAGCCACCGCCTTTGATTCTATCAACTCAAGGTCCCCTAATCCCCCCAGCTTCTTGCTATTCTTTTTAGCACTCCAGTGGGGACAGATATGTGACAGTCAAATGGAATAAATGCACAGGTTAAAAAGTGCAAGGGTGGGAGGCTGGAGAGATGGCCTAGTCGGCAAAGTGCTTGCCACACAAACATGAGGACCCGAGTTCAAGCTTCAGCACTCATATTAAGAGCCAGGAACGGTTGGCATGCACTTGGAATCCCAAATCCGAGGAGGCAGAGACAGGAGGATGTATGAGACTCACTCCCAGCCAGTCTAGTCTAGTTGTTGAACTCCAGGCCAGTGAGAGACCCTGTCTCAAGGTGGACAGTACCCAAGTATCAGCACCCAAGGTTGACCCTTGGCCTCCACATGCCCATGCACACATATGTGCACACAGTTGCATATACATGTGAACATGAGCACACACATGCACACAAAAAACATGCAAGGTGAAGACAGCCATGTCAGGGAGGCTTTCCATGAATCATAAAGTGTACGTGTTTCCCAGCGGCTGGGGGTCAAGATGGGGCTTCTCTCTGCTCTCAGCCACCAGC